CTAGTGTGCACTGTGCAGGCGTCCTTGTGGTCCTTGTTGCATCACTCATTCTTCCTGTTGTCTCATTGGGTGTAGGCCAATTGATTCCTAAAGTTCTTCCTACTAAAGCTGAGCCTTGCTTTCTCTCTGCAGGAATCCTTTTGCCAATGTCCAACTCAAACCAACGGTGACGAACGATCGTTCCGCTCCTCTCATCAGCTGATCTCCAGGGATATTGGGCGACGGCGGGTACCTCGCACCTTTTTGAGTTTCACCTGTGTGGCATTTCTGTGGTGTCCTTGTAAAGCACACGTGTCTATCTTTCCACAACTCTTTATTTTTGTAGTTAGACTGAATCTCAGCCTCCTGCTTGAGAAGCAGAAGTTGGTGCACTCATTCTTTTAATTTTTGTCTTTAGAGCAGAAGATATACCTTGGCCTTTGGAGTGATAAGTACCTCAAAGAGTACATGATGTCTCTGTTGTGAACGGAGAGCTAGAACGATGAACCAGGCCATGTAGTCTGTTCTGTTATAGACTTATGTTCAAAACATTCTAAGGGTGATAATAAGCTAGGAAAGCTAGTATGAGCAGGATGAGACATTCCGTTTTGCAATTATCTTATTTCTCAATTAATTTCTTGTGGAGGTCTCTCGGCACAATCAAACGTGTGGATGTGAATAAATTGAGCCTCTGGACTTCAGTGGTTGTCAATAAAAACTTTAGCACTGCCCGGTGTCACCAGACAGCGGCTGCTAGCAGCTGCAAGTCTGTACTGCACAGCTCTACAGCCAGAGCAGCACATTATATAGATGGAAGACTCACTGGCTCATTCTGACTTGTGCTGCTCTTTCACTGGGTAGCCCACTCTCCTTAAACTTAGCACAGCCAGACTCCAAAAGCTCTCCCCTCTAGTTATCCTTTTAATTTTCATGACCAGTCCAGATCGCTGCAAGCATGGAATGAAGTAAAGGGCAGGTCAAACTTCACAAGGCAGTCATCCTGTGCCTGATCATAGTCAAATTGTTATGTCCACATTTTTCATGTGGTTGTGCACATGGCTATGGTGCATCAAGTAGGGAAACACCCTTTTTTAGTTGCTTTTCAGTGAGCACCAGCCCCCTTCTCAATAGAACTCCTTGCTAATTAGCTAGGCTGGGGGAGAACCCTAACAGTTAACAAAGCTAGCTTCTCTCTCTCTCCTGCCCACCCCTCTTTCTGCCCTGAACTCCTCTTCCAGTGGAATTCTTCTCTACACATACTGCCTGGCGCAGTGTTTCAGTGTCCATGCCACAGGAAGAAGCCAGCTTAGGCAGCCTGGCCCCAGTTCGGCACTGCAGGTCAATGCCATTAGTATTACTCTTGGGCCTTGCAGAGTTCCTCTTTTTGTGGCTCTTTATAGTCTGCTTTTCTTCTAAGATGCCCTTGCATTTGCCTTAACAACAGGGGTGGCTAAGCTGTGGCCCTCTAGGTTTGTTGTACTCCCTTCGGCTCCAGCCAGCATGGTCAGTGGTCAGGGATTATGGGACTTGTAGTCCAGAAATCCCTGGAGAACCACAGGCTAGCTGCTCCTTACAATGTGAATGTTAGAATGTATTCATAAGAAGCTTCTGCATATGCTGTCGAGCTGGAGGGACCAAAGTTCCCTAAAGCTTCCGTGCACAGCACTCAGTGTTGCGTGGCTATCCCAGCAGGGCGATGTTAGCGTGCGCTTCCAAACTGGAGGGATCTGTACTACTGTCTCCTCTAACAGCAGCAGTCAACTTGCAGATCACTCCTGGGGTCACAGGATTGGCTTCTGATGCCCATTCATCATTTCTGGCCAAGTTTCCTCTTGCTGGAGTTCATCCGCAATCTGACTTCTAATGAAAGGTAATTCAGCCATCCATCCTGGGAAGTGGCAGCTGTCTCTCATCTCTAAACCTACCATGAGATACCTCAGGCACCTTGGCGCCTCTTACAAAATCCCAGTCAGAAGTTATTGGGGGGCAAGCTACGCAAATACATGTTGTGATGTGATTGCTAAGGCAAGGCAGGACTATCAGGAGTTTCTCTTGCAAGTGGGTGAGAAGATGAGCCATGGGCCTTGTATCTCTCTCCTCCATCCATGGGAAAGGAGCTTGGTGTGTTGGAGTAGGCAAACGTTTACCAAAGAAGGGTTAAACGGGCCATCTCCTTAACTGCTGCCAGTACGCCCTAATAAATAATAATAATAAGCATTAGGGGAAAGAGAGCAGCCACATGTGGATTCAAGTTGAAGAACCACAGAGCTGCCTTGCGTCGTTTGGTTCTCAGATAAAACACACATGCAAATTGAGAAGGTTTGATGATTAATATAAAGTGAGGGCACAGAGTCTAGAGTCTAAAACAAATAAATAAAAGAAAATAAATAAAATGCATCCGCAGTGCCAGCCTCACATTTAGAGGGGCTGAGATCTCGCTAGTATTCTACATGGAAAGGCATCATCGCTTGCATTTTTTACTGATGCTCATGATGTGCTTCCATACATGTCTCAACACCTTTATTTTTGTACAGAGATAATGTATTTTAAGTACAGACCAATTATTGTTTGTTCCTGTTTGGGACGGATAACCTGGCAAATGCCGACCTTGGCCGACAGCTGCAATTCTAGGCCGTTCCTTGCTTATGAGTAAACATGCAGGTCCTGTGCTGCTGTTGCAGCCAGCGTGCCTGAGTGTATCCTGCCTGTTTCTATTACCTTCCTCCCTCTGAAATATATTTCTCTCTTGCGCTTAATAATTACCTCAGGGCTTTGTCCACAGGAGTGTGATGAGGTTTCTCAGCCAGAGCTTTATATTTTGAGAAATGGCACAGAGCCATACTATGCAGAAAGGTCAAATTCTACTTAGACGACGAGACTCTTGCCAGATTTATTATTATTATTATTTATTTCTAGCTCTTTATTCACACTTGTCTCAAGCCAGCAACAAGGGTAGAAAGTATCCCATCCCAATGTAGTAATGGTTGCAGGAGCGCAGCCCAGTTTGCAGAGTAATGTTACACTCTAGTTCTGGCAGAAGTGACCAAGATGCGGGCAGCATAAAGACACCTGGACTTCGAGGTTTCCTAGGTTAATAATATTATCATGCCCTCTGACCCTCTGTGCAAAGGCACACCATGTGAATTCAAGGCTTTGAACACCATAAGGGACAAAGTACTAGTGTTACGTGACAAAAGGGAGGGCGGTAAATCTCCAGTTAAAATGCAGCAACTCAGTGTTTGAGATGGGCACGTTTAATGTGTTTTTGAGAATAGGGAACAACCGTACAATCGGCCTGTTTCGATCCAGAAGTGCCCTGTGACTTGCCAACATTTCATGCTGGAAGAGGGACACTGAGCAGCTGCTTGTGGTATCAAATTTATCTGTCTACATCAGCAACTACCACCGCCACCCAGAACAGAAGGAAATACAGCAGTCAGCAGCTGGCTCGTAGCAAAAATGAATAGAAGGTACAAGCTACCAAACACTTCAGCTCCATGTAGAACACTGAAAAGGGTAGTGGAAGCACCTATCTACAAGATTAGGTAGGAGAACTTCATGAATACTTACCGCGGGCAAGCCCCATACCCCTTCTCTGTTGCTCCAGCTTGAAGGCTTCTGCATGCCAGTCCTTGCTGATGTAGCCACACGTGCCCTAGGGATTAGTGCTCAGGAGTTGTTTCTCTTTCAGAAATGCAGTGTGGCAGCCATTTAATGCTCCAGGTAAAATGTGCTATGTGGCCTCTCAGCAGTTGGGTCTTCAAAGGAGGCCCAGCACTTCTTTCCTTCCTTGCTTGCTGCTACAGACTAACCCAATTGCATTGTGAAGCATTTAGCATTTCTGTAAATTAAACACTTATTTAAACTGCAGGAGACGGAGACGGGTTCCTTCAAACACCGCCCCCCACCCCACCCCGCAACACTGTGCCCATTGTCCTTGACCCTTTATTTCATGAATTAAAATTAAGGAAGAGGTGGACTTGTTTGTATTGGAAGAATTCATACTATAAGCTAGATAACAAGGATACAAACCTGTCTCCCCCCCGGAAAAACCCCCCACTGGGGAATGAGATGAAAGTAGTGCTTCAAGAGGTTGTACTCAACATCAGATTAACAACAGGCCAGGCCTAGGTACAAAACTGATAGGAATCTGGTGGTTTAGCCTGCTCCTCGCTAGCAAATCAATAACAAGCCCCCAAAGGTCCCCTGTACTAATTAGGGCACAACTATCCCCACTCAAGTGTTTCCACTAGCGCTCTGTAAAATGGGGGTAAAACACTGCCTAGGAAGCAAGCTGTGGATATTTGTTGTGTCACATGTGGCCTTTGTTCTGCAAGCTTTGCCAGTTTCCTCTAGATCATTGGTTCTCAACCTGTGGGTCCCCAGATGTTGTTGGACTACGACTCCCATCATCCCTGAGCTCTGGCCTTGCTAGCTAGGGGTGATGGGAGTTGTAGTTCAACAACATCTGGGGACCCACAGGTTGAGAAAGGCTGCTCTAGATGCTGCTTTAAAAAACAAACAAGCCCACAATAGCAAAACCTCAACCTTTCTGCTGCCTTCCCAGCCATCCTCCTGTGCTACTAAATAAGGTTCAGGTAGGGCACTAGGAAGTATTTGAAAAGGCTCCATGTGCTGCTGAGCTCACTCACACTCACACAGCCCCCTTGCTGGCTTAAGGTAGGGATTGACTACAGCTGTAAAGTGGTGTTTTTAAATTTGCTTGCCACCATCCACAAGAGCAGTATAGAAGTCTAGAACACAAAGTGACTAACAGACGCTCTCATGAGTATTGGCACAACACCGGATTTTTGTGCCTTTAGCATGAGTCAGAAATCCAGCAGGTACAGATTTTCCTGCACCTCTGACTTTGCTTCCTGAGAAAGGAGCAGTGCCTGTCGCAAGGTAAGCTCATCTGCCCTCCCTCTATCACAGCCTCTGGCTTAACCTATGAAACCCCAATAAATTATGCTGGCTTCAACGCATAGTAGATGTTACGATGAGAGCAGGCAGAAGATGGCTTATTTTAAAAATGTTTTATTTTTAGTGTTATTATTATTGGACCAATGGTATTTGACACACATGCTGGGAGCTGTATGGAAATCAGCACTGATAAAAAATACAGCAATTATGACCCGTATCAATAAAATATACACTGTAAATAGCCTCTCTCTCTCTCTTTTCTTTTTAAAAAAACAAAAACCAGCACAATCCAAAACATAGCTCTGTCTTCATGCAGCCTCTCAGGTGCTGAATGCATTTTGATGCTATAGACCACACACACCCTTAAGCGTTTCTTGTTCAAATGCAGTGCCAAAAGGAACGCGGCTTGGAGGCCGAACTGCGCTGTAGCCACTTAGCAACACTCCCACCCTCAAAGCTGCGCTCCACGGAACTCATTGTGTCTGTGAATCTTCCACTCTCCCATTTCACCGAATGTGGAAGGAACCCAAGTGTAACGGATAGAAACCCCACTCAAAAACAGCCCATGTTGATACCACCACCGCAAGCTGTGTATGCCCAGTTGCACCCGTGCCATGCCCGACAGCTGCCTACGACGGAAAGAAATGTGGGGTAATTATACGGAGTATATTAGGTGAAAATGAGGCCCATGCAAATAGCACTGCCTAGTGTGCTTGCTTGGAGGTGCCAGTAGTGTTCAGCAGCCTATAAAGCCTACCTTCCCTTGTGGAATCGCCTGGAGTTTTATACCTCAATGCTGGGAGGAGTACCATTTCTGCCTGTGGCTGCTGTTCCTCCAATCCAAATGTCTCCCAGTTGGAGAATAACAGCACTCAGCCCTGTTGGAATGAAAGCCAACTCTTCCCATTACATAAGAGGCATATTGCACCCATGTGGATAAAGGGATTGGTTTGTCGTTTTGTCATCTTATGCCTACCACTGACTTTTGCTCTGGATATTGCATCTAGATTAACCTGTCTCAGGGGTTTAGAAAATGAAAAGCTGCACAGCTCTGGAGCAAATGCTGTTTTGCAGTATTTCCACCGCCCAAAGTCAGCATTGGTGGTAGGCAACTTCCTCAAAAGGAGAGAGGTTTCATGGCCTCATCTGCTTGTTCTGTAAGCACTTAAGCATTGCTCTGTTCTGAGCCACATCTGCTTCTTACAGAGGAAGGGGAGGCTGGACAACGAAAACTGGTGTAAAGCGTGAGCAGGCTCAAGCTGCTTTAAAACCATCTTGGGTGAAGGTCTCTTGCTACGCCCTCCTTGCTCGCTAAGGCAGTCAATGCGCGACAGGCTTTAAAATAAAAAAAGGTAAATTCTGCATCCTATATAAATCATGCAAATTTGCTTTCTTTGCACAATTTGTTTACTTTGCATAATTTATTCTGCTGCTGATCCTATAGAGTGGCATAAGCACAGAAACCCCGAACACTGGAAATGGTACCTTTCCCCTCCACTTCTGGTAATGCTTTCTTCTTATTCCTGACTTTTACCGATCATAACTTTTAACATAACATTTTGTATTTTATGTAAACAGCTTAGAGGTGTTTTTAACAATTTAAATGGAATTTAAATAAATAAAATGCAAGGTGCCCTTGTAGGAATATGGTAATAAGTGTGTGTTGTCTCACTATTGGCCGTGGATGATCTTCGGAGCAAATGTTGCTTGGAGCTTGGAGCACTTTGGAGTCACCCTTAGCTGCCTCTACAGCTTACATAGTAAGCCTGGTTTGCCAACTATTAGCCCTGGTGGGACCGGCCTCCCACAACACTTACAGACGGGAAAAACCGAGGCCAGGAAACAGTAAGGTTGGGAAGCAAAATAAAGCCCAAAATGAAACTCAAGCCTCATGGTAAGCTGGACCGTTCAACTTCCACCCTAAACTGATAGAAAGAGGGCTGTGTATGACAAGCTACATAGGCTATATATTGCATACATCAAGTGAATTTGCAAGATCTCCCTGATGCTCCCTGTATTCTGCTTCCCTGCCCTTTCATGGCAAGGAAAGAGGATATTGAAGCCCTGCGGCGGCGGCAGCAGCAACAACAACTAAACCTCACCAGGGAACCAGTAACCTCTCCAGCTTCTGAGGTTTGTTCAGGCTTATCCTTGCAATCATAATGGCGAGAAACTTGCTTTTCTTTCCAAGTGAAAGAAGAGGTTCTTACGAAACCACATTCTGCAGCAAGTATTGTATTAAGAACAAAAAAAAGAAACACATTTTCCACTGAATGGCAGTACGGACAAAGCCCTGGTTGTACTCACCAGGGTATGGCGAGGGCAATTTGAAAAGACGCACCAGCGCAGATGGATGGTTAGTAGACTTAACTCACATTCCCATGGTGCCAGGGAGAATCCTGCATTTGGCAACAACCTACTTGCCTTCCCTGCATGTGGTATGAATGGATGGGGCTTCAAAAGCCACAAGGGGTGGAAGGATAGCTGTTTAAATAAAAACAAATGTTGGTTATTCCTGATGCTATGAGAGGCCACATGATAAATAATGTACTCTTAAGCAGCAATCCTTTACATACTTAGCTGGGAGTAAGTCCTACTGAACTCAGTGGGACTTACCCTGAGTAGACATGCATAGATAGGACCACACAGCTAAGGGGGCTTTCAGACTGCGGGCTATTAGTGCTACCCAGTCATTACCTTTTTGCTATGAGCTACATGCACAACTGCAACAGGCTTTCCCCCATTCAGCTGGTGCTGTGTTCTATGTGTGCATATACATCCTGCCATGTTCTGATCACAACAATGAGCTTAACATAGCCATGTGGGTGGGCGGCTAACAGTGAAGCTAATGAACCCCTTCAACGGTATTTAATTTTATCACCAACATTTAAATTTGGGCTAAAATGCTCTTTTCACTGAAGCGCTGTTGCTCAAATATTTTATTTTAATGTGAAAAGGCATTCGAACGCTTTGTTGTTGTTGTTTTTAAATGTACGTTGCTCAAATGGCACCGGCTGAAAAGGTAATAATGAAAGAGTGCCCCAGTTGAAGAGGTACAGCAATAGGGTTCAGTTGTTGGGAGCCCCACTGCACCTGTCAAAAGATCCAAGGTGGCTTAACCCTGTGCTGCTGTTCCATATCTTCTTACATCAGATTCTCCCAAAGCAAAATCATAGAAACATAGTGAAAAGCAGAAGAGGGGAGGGGAATGATTTGATTGCAATGTCCTGTGATTGCCCTGTAAAAAGTGAGTGGACAAAGAATGGCCATTCCAGAATAAACGCAATAGTGCGGAAGCATCACTAATCCAAATGCAGAAACCCAACTGAGCTGGCTTTGTAGCAAACCTGACTTTATAATGGTGCAAATAGCACAGCGGGCTACAGCACAGCCTGGCTCCTAGCCACCAATATATGTTGGCACGGGTGTTAGAAATGTATGCTTCGCAACCCAAAGCAGCTGGCACTGTAATAAAGCAGGCTTTCTCCACTTTGCCCACTTGCAGTTGGCTACAGCTCCGGAGAATTCCTGAGCCAGAAAGAAATTAAGATGTAGGGGTAACCAATGACAGTTCTTCTGTTCTTCCCACACATCTTGCAAGGTGGCAGTTAGTTGCTTCCAGCTCTGCTGGTAAAACTGTAGCAGGAGTGCTTGCAGGTGGTGATAAGATACTGGAGCAATTTGTGCGTGGTTCACCTCAAATTATACCCACAATGAATTGACTGGAACCACAGAGGCCAAAACCCTTGGGCCATCAGTAGTTGTGGGCACATTACTGGTGTTCATGGCATTCCCTGCTTCTCTCTTTTTTTTGCCCAAGTAACTATTGGGTAGAAGGTGGAATCCTGGCCGTAGTGTGTGGCAAGAAGTACACCCCGCCCCCTTTCACCCGAGTGGCTTCGTGTCTCTACCCAGCAGAACAGCTTATACATGGTTCTCAGTTGTCTTCCTTCCATTCCCAAATGAAGAGCAACTGGGAAGGGCATGATCCCTGTGCACAGCTGTGCACATGCAGAGAGGTTGCCACAGAGCCTAACAGAGCTCTCCTCCTGTTCCCCTCCAAGATGCACGTGAACTGCAGAGGTAAGAGCCGCTTCTGTTTCTGCATCAAATCTTCCTTCTCTAACACAGGGTCCAACCTGGAATTCTGTTGCATTGTCAAGCAAATTCTAGTGCAAATTCCTGGATTGTGAAGTGCCCTGGATTCCTCCTGTTCTAGTTAATGGCTAGTGTGCTCTGATGCAGCAACGAGGGGGAAGAGAGAGAGTTCCACTGAGCCCCTATGGCAATCCCACCAGCTGCTCACAGCTACACTCGTGCCAGGATGGACCATATCCAAAGTGGATGCTACTTACTGGGAACACTGTCGTTCTGATATGGAGACAGCTGGACATCTTGCATAAATATCCGCCCAAAGCCATGGGACAGAAGCCATTTTACAGCTTTGGAAATCATTCATTCAGAAGGATTTGCCCGGACTTGGATTCTTGAAGCTGCAATGTTCTGGTTGGAGAGGTTAACAGCTAACAAACCACTCTTTCTTTTTTGCAGGGTGGGAGAGAGGCCCTTTTCCCCCAGCCTTGAGGTTCCCATTTTGGCTTTCCCCTTTTAGCCACTGGAAGCAGTACCTCATTCTGCTCAATAAGAAGGGGTAGCTCTTGTCTGTAGGTGGCACTTGTGTGTGGCTGATGTAGCAAAGCAAAATACAGAAAACAGAAGTTGCAGAAATCCCTCTTGCACTCTGTCCTCTCTGGCTCCTGGGAATAGGCATGTGCTGGTGTGCATGGAGCACAACTCACTGGGGGAATGAGTTGCAGCAGCCAAATGAAACTGGGCAGGAAAGAAAATGTGCTGTGGTCTTTGCAGTTCTTCCTGGGTCAGACCTGCTACCCCTGCTCTGGTATATCCCGGCATCATTGCTAGAACTGCTTATTTGCTGGCTCCTCCTCCAGTCCATGATTTCCTTCGGAGTTCTCTTCCCAGTTGGCCACACTGGCCAGAAGTGTGGGTGGCATCACAGATTCAGCTGTTCAAGCAAGATCAAACCACAAACACCTGACGGTGAATGCCCTGAAGTCTGGCAGCCCCGACCAGGAGAACAAGCTTGAGCAACAGTTTTCTGGCTGCCACAAGGAGAGGGAATTGAGTCAACAGCAATACTATCTCTGTCACCTACCCAGGCATAATGCAAACTTTAGTCAAGAAAAGCCAGACAAGAGCACTGCTACTTCCGAAGTCCAGGGCTATCCATTTGTGTTTAGGGACTATACAGCAAGGAGATAACTGCAGGCATCGTGTATATGCTGGTCTGCAGTAGGAGAGGGACTAAATATGTGTATTTGACCTCAGCATACAAGGAGGCTGTGAACAGAGCATGGCTAACTTTCCATGCCTAGCAGACCAAGGAAGCAACAGTTCCCAGCAAGGAATGCCATGCACATAACAATATTCTGGCTTCCAGGGGAGGGAGGGCAGGGAGAGACAAAACTATTGCTTCAAACACACTTCTTGGTGTCCTGGCTGGTGCCCAGGATGTGAAGAATCAAGAAACCACCAGCAGGACTCTTAAACATTACTCACTTAAAATGTTCCACCGAAGTTTATAACTGTGCTTAGGAATGCAGCTTCACTGATTCCCAGCTGACTAAAATTGGTGTGTGGGGAGTAGCTTGGAAGAAGATGAGAAAAAGGAGGATCTTAAAAGCCACCCCCACCTCTGTTCATCCGGTAAGATGAACGGTGGGGGCATTGTGCGTGTAAATAAATTAATGCTTAAGTATGGGGGTGGGGAATGAACAAGAGGTGAGATATTAGATCAGCTTGGGTAGCTCAGCTGGTTACAGCATGGTGGTGATAATGCCAAGGTTGCAGGTTCGATCCCCGTATGGGGCAGCTGCATATTCCTGCATTGCGGGGGCTTAGACTAGATGATCCCGAAGGTCCTTCCAAGTCTACAGTTCTAGGATATATAATAGAAGAGGTACATAAAATTATGCATGGTGTGAAGAGAGCAGATAGGGAGAGTAGTATTATCCTCTGATAACACTAGAATTCAAAAACGAAGCTGCAAGATTCGGAATGAAGCTGCAAGATTCAAAAACGAAGCTGCAAGATTTGGAACAGACAAAAAGAAGCACTATGTCACACAGCAGCGTTAAAGACTATGGCACATGCTCCCACAAGAGGCAGTGACGGCCACAAATCTGGGTGGCTTTAAAAGAAGATGAGATAAATTCATGGAGGTCGGGGTTATCGGTGGCTACTAGCCACCATGGCTATGCCCTGACTCCACCATCCGACGCAGTGGGGAATCACAAGTGAGGAGAGTACTGCTGTATTCATGCCCTGCCCTGTAGATTTCCCACCAGCATCTAGTTGGCCACTGTGAGAACAGGATGTTGGACTAGATGGGCCACTGCCTGAACCCGCAAGTGCTCTCCTTCTGCTCTTAGAAGTGCATTACGCCCCTTGTGGAACTAAAAAGAAGAGAAGAGTCATCGGCCCTGCTGTCAAGAGAAACAGCCAGAGACGTGAAAGAAGAAAAAGGCCCCTTAAGAAAAGAATGTTTTGCTGCTGTCTCGGGCTCCTGTGGCCATGGTTGTCCTCTAGCCCCTGTTTGGAAATGGTCCACAAATACGGTTGTTAGCAGCTGCTACCTGCACCCTTGATTTCCAGTATCTGTGTTTGGTCTATAGCCCCAAAAGGCCACAACCCCCGAGTGTAGACCCCCTCATTACTTTTCCTCCCCCCCCCCAAATCCAAATTGCACAATTATCCTAAAGTTTAAACTGATAAAAGATTTAAACCAAAAACAAAAGAAAGCAACCACGATGCTCTTTCCCCCCCTCCCCCGGTTCCCTCCTTCCAATCCTTTCCCCCACCCCATCCCCAAGAAACCTTGATAAAAGTTAACTCTTTACATCTCTTTGGCAACAATAACTTAAATCTGCCGCTCTGTTAGGGCAGGTGATATAGCGTAGGGTAAATTTTTTTTTACAAAAATAGTCCCGGTAGCCGTTTGACCTGCTTTTGCTACACATCTCGTCAGGAGTCTTCTCCTGTATGTTAAGTTCCTCTAAGAGTTGCGAAGGGAAGTTGGAGTCTCTCCCCACATGACCAAGATTGGCATTTTGACACAAACCCAGGCTGCCCACTTGCTGATGGGACACAGCTTGGCACCCCAGAAAACCTCCACCTAAACAATACTGTGGCAGGGAAAATAGGAAGGTTCTGCAGCGGGTGTGTTGGAAGAAGAAGAGGAAGAAGAGTTTGGATTTGATATCCCGCCTTTCACTCCCTTTAAGGAGTCTCAAAGCGGCTAACATTCTCCTTTCCCTTCCTCCCCCACAACAAACACTCTGTGAGGTGAGTGGGGCTGAGAGACTTCAAAGAAGTGTGACTGGCCCAAGGTCACCCAGCAGCTGCATGTGGAGGAGCGGAGACGCGAACCCGGTTCCCCAGATTACGTGACCACCGCTCTTAACCACTACACCACGCTGGCTCTCTGGGGGGGCAGGGAAGAGAGGTGAGCATCTGCACCACAAAATTCCCCCCTGCTTATAGGGTTTTGTTTTGTTTTTTAAGTTAACCTTGCATTTCCTGCACATCCCCTTTCTTTCCTGCTTAGGCAGCCATTTCCTAACAGGCAGGGAGACTTCCTAACAGGCAGGGAGGCTGCTTTCCCCAAGGCAAGGTTGGAGAAAGGATGCACCAAAGGCCATTAAGGCACAGCTCCTGTACCACTAAGTGCTCCAGTGGTGGTGCAGCTGAGCAGATGGTAAAGGGGCCAGCAGTAGTTGCAGAATCTATACGTGGGGAAAGGAGGGGGCAGCAGAAACACACTGTGGAAAGGGAAGACGGCTACTGAGCCCGTCCCACAAATGAAATTGCCACCTTAACCTCATCTAGCTCCCCTACGTGCCACTTGAGTTTGCCTACCATCCATTCTCTCGCCTCTCCCCTTATTTGATGCGCAGCCGAACAGCAAGCTACACCCGACACAGCCAGGTGTAGAGGGAGGGGGGCAAGAAGGGACTTGCAGTCACAAGGAAGGGAGAGAAGGAAGGAAGGAGTACTCAGCTTTCAAGGGCCAAATTTAAGCATGTCTGAATGACACGGTGCAAGGCTATGTGCTCTCGCTTCCGCTCTCTATTCCGTGCTGGGCTTGGAAAGCACACATGAGAAGCTTACAAGAACAGGCAGGAGGAAGAAAAGGTGGCGGTGATCTCAAGGCAGTGCCCCAATTTGGGAAGCCAATGTGGGTCGAAACATCCAAGAGGCATGAGCTGGAGAGGGAGGAGGGGGGTATCAAAATGGCTTGGGTGGAGGGGGCAGCGATGTTAGCAAGGTCACAGCTCTACCCTTTAAATGCTATAGGTTCTATAGGTCTATATGTCTATCTGTACATATACACACCCTCACACACACACACACACACACACACACCCTCACATCCACACGCTTGTCACAAAATCGCCACGCCATGGGGCATCTCCAGCCTAGCAGCAGTCAAGAACTGTCCAATAAAATCCGCCTCTTAAAAAAGAAAAATATATATATAGTAAGAGTATCCACCACCACCATGGAGTTCTCTGCTCCACCCAAGTTCTGGGCCTCCGTCCTTACTCCTTAGCCCCGATGCAGAAACCGATGCTGTAAGGGGCAAGTCCAAAATCAAGCCCATGGCTAAGCTCATTCTCTGTCGCCTCTGTTTTCACTGCTTCCTAAAAAAAAGGGGGGGGAAAGGCAGAGTTACTGTAGTAATGGGGCGTCACAACCTTAAAGGAGGCCTTGTATGCCCCCTCTCCTCTGCATAGCTTTCCAAGTTGCAGAATCCATTCTTACTACATCAAATGCAACCAAAGGAGAGACAAATTCCCAGCCCAGCCCCCATGACTTAAGCCAATTTTACAGTTCATGCCACCAGCCCCTCAACCCACTCTACAATGATTTTTGTGTGTTTTTTAAAGGACGAATACAATTAAGGTTCCCCAACATAGAATAGAGTGCAAGCAGGCTTGCATCTTATGTTGCTTTGGACACAGAAGCCCCATTCAAAAAATTCCGCCTCAGGTACTCAGCGAAGGTAGATGAATGGGGCTTTGCCCTCAGCCAAACCACATCTACCTACCTTGCTATTTACCACCAGTCCAGGCTGCTGTCATTGGCTCTGGCTCCCCCTACTGTTGGCCTCCCTGCCGTCCTCCCTACCACTCCCAATGGGCGCCAATCACCACTGCAGAACCCGACCCAGATTATGCTTTGCAACCTGACCCTCGCTGGCCAGAGCTTGTAATCCAGAGAGGAGTCCATAATTTGCCTGTAGTTCCTTCACTTGCCTATCATTGATGGTGCACCTGATCATGATCCCAGTGGGTTTAACAGAACGGGCTGTGCCCAAATAAACATAGGCAAACATCCTTAGATGCTTCCATAGGAGCTATTCATTCTGGAGTGTCTTGGGTCTTCCCCCATTCAGTTATATTTTGAGAACAGGAACACACAATGTCCATCCCAACAACCATGGATCAATTCAGTGAAGTAGGGGAATATCCTCCTGGCCCTACTTCCTACAAAGCGAGCAATCACACTCTTTTTCGCACCTCAAAAGTGGGAGGAAGGGCCTCTAAGGTCCATGTGAACAAAAGGTTCTTAGAAAGGATCTCTCTTAAAAACAGATCCATATCCCTGTTGTTTCCACTTATTCAATTGCTGTGTACATTACAAAATGTGGGGTGGTGTTTTTTTAGTGCATTTGGTATACTGAAATTATTTCACATAAACATGGCCTTGGTAGAATTAATTCTTATGAACTGGTGGTCCAATTAAGTGCCATCAATAAAATCACTCAACAGCATTCCCACGGAAATCAGGACTGTCCCCCATTTCCTATTCAATGTTTAACTATTCCTCCATTTCCTGGTGTTGATCATGTGACATCTAGGCCAGGCCATGTGGCTTGACAGACATTTCCTCCAGACCCAGGGACATAAAAGAGCGACCTTCTTGAGACTTCTGGGCTCACCCCTTCTCAATGGGGCCCCCTTCTTCTGCTACCTGAATGCCCCTTACCTCCTACAGAACCGGTGTCCGAGTCAGTGACGTGTGTGATGGAGAACCTCGACACGGGGGCAGGTGAGACTGTGAAGCGTGAAAACTGGATGGGCAGCACCTGCTTCTGAGCTGGCACTAGTGTGGGTGGCAGTCCGGGGAGGGCAGGCTCAGGTGCCGCCGACGTCAACGATGGCATGACAGATGCTTTCACTGCCATGAGGGGGAAGTCATCTTCCCACTCAAAACCACTACCTGAAGAGGGAAGACACACAGTGGAAGGGTAAGGAGCTGGGCCCAAAATCCCACCCCACCCCCGCTTGGCCAATTGTCCTCCGCTGCTTCCTGTTAGCCTCCCGGCCAATTGCTGCATCACCAAGTTCCTACTAGTCCAAAAGGTCTTGCTATGCAGGACCAATTTCCATCCCCCTCTAGTGGCCAAATGCAGGTTGCTTTACATAAGCTGCTGCTTGGAGCAGCCTTTCTCAACTTGTGGGTCCCCAGATGTTGTTGAACTACAACTCCCATCTCCCCTAGATAGCAAGGCCAGAGCTCAGAGATGATGGGAGTTGTAGTCCAACATCTGGGGACCCACAGGTTGAGAACCACTGGCTTGGAGCAATGCAGAGAGGCTGGAATCCGCAGCCCATAATCTGTCCAATCAAGTGACACATAGCCTTCCAGTTGTCATCGACTACAGCTCCCATCATCCCCAAGTCTGACCCAGCCCAAAGGCTATAATGGCTGCTGGGAGTTGACAACATCTGGAGGGTGCCCCAACTCCGTTGCATAGTGAAGCGGTGCAAAAATATTGCACCCAAGAGCAAACCTAGATGGGCTGAGCTCAGAAAAGCAGCCTGTGCAGGTGTCGTGATGGAGAAACATCATGGCCTCCCCCCCCCCCGAGCCCTGCTCAGTTCCCTTCTGGTTTCCTACCCTTACTCTCTTCAGAGGTGCTCCCTTCCGACAAACTGCTGGGTGCATCTGTTCTCTCTGCTGGGCTTGGGGAACCATTGCTGTCCTTATGCACAGGTGGCGCCACAGGAGGTTCTGTTACTCCCGGGAAAGGATGCTCTGCCAGTTCCTTCGTGGGGCTTTCCTGTGCGCAGAAGATACAAATGGGCATAATTATCTCATTGTCTCTTGGGAGCAACTTCTGGGGTCCAGGTTGCCCTCTAGGGAATAAACACCCTCCTACCTTTATTTGCTCCCAGGGTGGCTGCCATAATTAACGCCCCCCGTCCCCCGCTCTCAAACCCAGGCCTTGCAAAAAGTTTGGGTCACTCCCATATTAATGTAACTGGTTTTTTTAAAAGAACAACAACTGAGAATCATGTTCAAATTAAGATCTGAGGCTTAGGATGAAGGTTTCTTTGTCCGGACTTGCAAGACTACGATCAAGATTAGGGGATGTTGGTAACCAGCACCTTTCAAAACAAACGATGAAAAATATACTCAGTTAAGAGATCAGCAGATGCTTATAGCCGTGGGGTGTTTCTGTTGCTTGCAGAATGGAAATTGCAGAATGCACAAAACATGTGTGTTTCCTACGAAAGAGGCACACGACTTTCGATTCGTGAGTATGCTAAAGCATACCTGAGGGCCTCTTCCGGTTGTCAACTCCAGGCCGCCAGAAAACAACTCACCTGGTCAAAGAGGTAGACGGTGACATCTTCGATGAAGGAGACGGCTTTCTTCTTGCGTTCGAGGTCATCGCAGAAGGTCTCCACCAGCAGGCTGGGCATCTTGAGCAGGCTGCGCAGGTTGCGGGCGCTGTGGCTCTCGGCCACCACAATGGGCACAGCGGGCAGCTCCTCCTCGCTCTCCTCGCTCTGGTCCTGGATGTTGTAGCACCGCAGCTCCTCGTCCGACTCATCGCTGTCATCCGTGTCGTCCTCCTCTTCCTCGAGCTCGGCAGGGACAGACGGATGCCGAGAGGGTGCCGCCGAAAGGTCCAGCGAGAGCCCAGGGCTGCTGTGGGGCTGCTCACCAGGGCAGCATCGTTCCTGCCCTTCCCCGGGTTCCTCTGCTGCCCTTGCCACTCCATTGCTCCCCATCCCCGCATCTCCCTCACAAGCCCCATTCGGCACATCCGGACTCGCAACCACAGGAGACAAGAAAAAGGACCTGGTGGCAGGGGGCGGCACCTGGGGCATGGCGACAACCTCGTTGCTCTTGCCTCTGGATGAGTCCAGCTCAGCAACAGTGACTCCATTCACTACCAGCTCTTGTGACAGGCTTGTCCCCGTGCCCTGGTCGCTAGCCGCTGGAGGAAAAGTACACCCCATGCCGTCTTCCTGTGGGCAAATGGGCTCAAGGAAAGTAGGCCGAGACTCGCCTGCGCTATTTTGGGCGGGGTCCTTCCCCAACTCTCCAACGTCCGCCTTGGGGAGCTCTGGCTCGTGCCCCTCAGAACCATCACTGTCCCCTTCCCCGTCCTCCCGAGCCCCCCCTTCGGTATCGTAGTCAGAGAAGTAGGCCGAGTCACGGTAAGGGTTCTTCTCATCTAAGCCCTGCAGCTCAGCGCTGAAGGAGCTGGAGAGGCTCAGCTCTTTGGCTGGGCCCTCGGGGCCGTCTGGTGCCTTTTCTAGCTGGGTGAAGGCCTCGGGCTCCCGTGGCTCGTGAGGCTCCCTCAGGACAAATTCAGGCGACTCGTAGTTCTCTGTGTCGTAGCCACTGTCTAAGGCTTTAGGCTGGCTCGAGGGCACGTAGGCTGTGGGGCTGAACGCCTCGCAGGAGCTGGTGGTGGAGGGGATGTCCAGCGACTCCAGCGAGTCAGGGGTCTCCACCTGCTTCTGCAAGGACTTGAGGGTGACGATGACGTCCTGCCGCTCGGTACAATCAACTGGGAAGTCAGTGAAGACCCCGGATGTGAGCTCAGCCGTGTCCTCGTCACTGGCCTCATCCAAGTCAGGGAAGCTGGCGCTGGAAACCGTCTTGTCTGGTGTCCTGTCCTGCTCACTGGTCGTGGTGTTCTTGCCGCTGTCCACGTTGATCTCTCGCGGCACCTTGGGTGAGCATTCGGCCGAGGCCTCTTCCACCACGACGGGGTCTTCCCCAGTTCCTAGTGCCTCCTCCTCTGGCACGGTGGCATCCCCTGCGTCCGTGTTGTTGACAGGTTCCAGCGTTGACGCCACTGAATCCGTGTCCCCTGGTGGTGGTGGAGTGGTGGCAGCCAGGAGGCACTCCACCCCGCTCTCAGCCAAGGGATTTGTGGCATCGCCTGCGCCGATCTCTACGCTGGCAACCTCGGCTGACGCTCGTTCCTCTGAAGGCAAGTCGGTGTCTGGGCAGGGGGAGCCCGTGTGAGATGATGCCACCCGCTCCTCGCCCAAAAGGGCCGCTCGCAAGTCCTCGATGCCTAGCGTGGGGCCGTCACGGGGTACAGTACACAGCGGCTCTGCCATGAGCCCCTGGAAAGTGATCATGTGGCGGTAGCACCAGCTGTCTTTGGCAGGTGGCTCACACGGCGGCAGCAGGTGGCAGCTGTTGTTATTGGCGGAGGTGTTGGACGTCCAGTTCTTGCTGGAGGAAGGGGACCCGTTGTTCTCATCCCCTTCGCTCCCAGGGCTGCCACACGAGTTCTCCTCCTCCTCTTCCTCCTCCTCCTCCTCCTCCTCCTCCTCTCCCAGTTCCAGAGTGACCGAGTCTGCCACTGCGGCCTCCTCCTTGTAGGCGTAGCCCACCGAGGGTGAAACACCAAGCGGGTCAGCAAATATGCTTTTCTGCGGAGCTGCCACGGGCCACTCGGAAGCCCCATGCTCCTCAAGCAGGTAGTCCTCAGGGCCGTCTTTCAGGGAGGCCTCGTAGTACGGCGAGGCCTCCTTGTCCCCTTGCCCTCCATAGGAGTAGTAGTCAGGGGGCTCCCAGTGGCCGCTGTCCCCATGTGCACCAGAATGCCCCAGAAGGGGCTCCATGGTGAGCGAGACGGTGGGGCTGCTGTTCGACTCGTAGCAGCCCTCCTTGGCTTGCCAGTGGGAGGGGCGGCCAAACTCCGGGCTGTAGGAGCACATGGTGTAGTCGAGGTCCGTCCCGCTGCCCTCGGAAGCCGCCTCCTCAATGCGGATGTAGTACTCGCTGTTCAGGGAGGGGCTGTGAGCGCTCAGCACTGGCACCACACCTGGCGTGTGCAGGCCAGGGCAGCCCTGCACTTTGCACTCGTAGCAGGAGGGCGACACCCCCAGGCTGAGGTGCCTGCCGTCCCCTCTTCCGCCGCTGCTGCCGCTGGCGGCGTAGTAGAGCTCGTGGTAACGCGCAGCGTCGCGAGGGCTCATGGCCGAGGCCGGCAGGTGCTCCGTCTTCCCTTGGTCCCACTTGTACTCAAAGTTCAGGCCGTGGCTCGTCTCCATGACGGTCAGGACGTCGTCGCCATCGTTGGAGAAATGCTCCAGGAGGGGGAAGGACGAGAGCTCAACGCCCACGTGGCTGGAGCCCGAGCCCGAGCCGCCTCCTCCACCGCCGCCGCCGCCAGGCTTCATGGAGTTCCAGCGCCGCTCAAACTCCTCCTCAGCCTCCGACGCACCCTTGGCGCACAGGTACGAGAGCAGCAGGTGCACCTCCTCAGCAGTGGGGCGCTGCTCTGGCTGCAGCCAGCAAAACTGCATCACCTCGTACCTGCGCATAGGGAAGAGCAGAGGAGAGGTGAGACTCTGTTGCTCCTTTGCTCTGGGGACAACGCTCAGCAATTGCGTCATTCGCAGAGCCAGCCTTCCTCCATCTACAATCTGCTCCTTGCCAGCAACCTACTTGGCAACATGCTCCTTGCTACCCCAATTCCCTAGTGAAACCCTTCTTTCTCTTCTGCACGCCCCTAAAACCACCCTTTTAGACCAGTTGTGGCTAACCTTGCGCTAGGGCTGAGAAATGTCTGGCTTTCAACGTTGTGATATATCCCCAGCTAAACACTGTGATGTACCGATATATCACAATGCCTGAAATAAGGACGTAATCAGTACTATGTTTCTAGAAATAGTCACCATGAATGCCTCCCTTGGGCGCCCACCTGAGAGGTGCTAGAACTATGTTAGAGAGTGCCCACTGGCTTGTGGGGCTACCAACAAAGCTTGTGCTCTACCGACTGAGTGGCAGCCTTTTTGTTCCTTACTTAATGGATACATTTACCAAGCTTGCAATTTGCCAGTCCTGGTGGCTTGGTGTGCTGTTTGCTTAGCAAGAGGGCTAAGATGGGAGTCTGGCACCAAAGACGTTTATCAGCATCTGCCTACCCACACACCTGATCCCACCTGCCTACGGTCCAGCCTCCTCCACGCTTGTCATTTAGTGCCTGCTGGCCACCTCTGCCCCTCATGTGCCCTCCCCCCGAGGGCCCCGCTTCACTCACCAGCGGTCAGACAGTGAGAGTGGGAGCTGCGGCTTAGGAAGTTTAAGCTGCTGCTCCTTGATGGCGTAAGTGAGCACCTGCCGGTCCGAGTAGTGGCAGTAGGGCTGGCTGCCCAGCTCAAAGAGCTCCCAGATGGTCACGCCCAAGGACCTGCCAAGAGAGAGGGGGCTCAAAGCACACGCGAGTGGCAGGTGGCACCACCATAGAGGGAGAGCGCCGGGTCACCCAGGCCCTTTGAACCCAGGGCAGTTGCATTTATTTGCTTGGCAAATGCACAGCTCATCCTTCAAAAGGGACAACTATCTTTAAGGGGGAGGGAGACACAATCAAATTACAATGAAAATGCAGGTAAAACTGTGGGAAGGGGGAAATAAAGTGAAAGGAACCCAAACAATTACACCAGCCAATAAAACCAAATACGTGCTCCTTGTAGCTACCAAGAGAAATTATTCCGGCTGCTGCATTCTGGACCAGTTGCGCCTTCGGTAGCCGTCCCATGTAGAATGTGCTACGGTAGCCCAGCAGGGAGATTTACCAAGGTGCACATCACACAGGAGGAGCAAACTCAGCAGGCATATCCCATGTTGCACTGTAATCACAGTTTTCCTGGCCAAAGGTTTCCGTTTGGTTGTTTTCGAGCAAAATGTAACCTAAGCCAGAGAGTTGCCCGCTGGCTTGTGGGGCTACCAAAATAAAACTTGGGTCACAGCCACTGTAAAATATTACTTAGTGATGAGATGTTTACCTGGCTCAGTAAAATCACTGCCCCCCTTCCCAAATCTGGCCTAAGGGTTCACGTTGCTGCTGTCCCACCCTCCCAAGGTCACACATCCCAGGAACGGCTCCTTCCCCCCGTACCACCCCTGATTTTCTCACCAGATATTGCTGGTCTTGGTCTGGTCAACAATAAGCAGGTTGCCATGCACCTCGTCGATGAGTTCAGGCGCCACCCAGCGCAGGGGTACCCACAGTTGGTCAGCCGTCACAAAGTAGTCATCCTGCCAGGCATGCAGGGGCAAAGCAAGACAACGTCAAACCGGCACCAACAGAAACAGCAATCGCGACCTGTTGTGGATGCTTCAGCTGAGATTCCTGCGTTGCAGGGTCTTGGGACAAGATGAGCCTTCAAGTCCCTTCCTATTCTATGCTAAAGGTGGCCTAGTCCACTCCACCCCAGAACCGCTGGTGATGGAGAATAGGACTGTCTCCACTAAGCCCGTCCCCCACCTCTCCCTATCCCTTAGACATGTTCACACTGTTGCTGGGAGAATCGCAATCCCCACTTCCCAGCCTGCCTCCAGATTTATGTTGGCAGGTCCCTGCGTACGGTCATGCCCCGGTGAAGCAGGCACAGTCCTGTTTGCCAACCACTTGTCCCTCCTGCCTTTTCTCCCCTTAAAATGTTTGCACTCAAGAGAGCCAAGTTGCCCCTCATCCCCAAGAAGGCTGCTCCCGCCATCAGCCTTGCGGGGGCCCTGAACACAAACCCCACCATCAACACTGGCTTGTGCTCCCTGTCCGGCTCCCGCCCCCAAAGCAGACTTACTTTGTATTTGCAGTGAGAGAGGCCGTAGTCGCCGATTTTGACTGTCAGGTCAGCCGTGAGTAAGCAGTTCCGCAGCGCCAGGTCACTAGACAAAAGAAACGCCCAGCGAAGATTACACAGCGGAAGGCGTGAAGCGACGGGCCGGCCAAGGGAGCTCATGCATTGTGACCCAGATCAGGCCCACAGGAGCTATGGAGCCGGGGAGTGGGAAAGGGCTAACCAGATGTGCCAGGGCAAGGTCCCAAATATGCCCTCATCGGGTCTGCTTAGCTCACCAAGACCAATAATGAATCTATGGCTGGCCACTGGTTGACTATCCACTGAAATGCACCAAGAGTCAACTCCACAGAGAAAGATGCAGTCTGAGCATCACCGACAGCAGTCTGAACTCACGGTCAACTGCTTGTCTCCCTCTTGATTCCCCAACAATGTCCCTACAGCAAAGCTGTATCTTTGAAGGATGTAGCGTTTCGATCTGCTCTTGCCCATGCAGACTTGCAAAGCCTAGTTCCTAAAAACATCCTTGTACCTTTAGGGAGCGAGAGGGAAAGGTGGGAATGGGGGACGGACTCATCTAAGACCACGAAGTGAGATCATGGCAGAGGCAAAATTCAGCCTTGGGACGTCCAGTTTGTGGCTCGGTGCACTTCCCCAAAAGGAGGACTCCCATGCTCAGAAGATGGCAGAGCTCAGCCTCCTCAACAAAATCACTGATGCTGGAGTCTCTTGAGTGCCACTCACTCAGCACCAGGATATTGTTGGGGAGGAAGAGCAGGGTGACGGGAGGAGATCAGGATCTGCAGAAGGGTATCCACAGCAGGATGGTTTCTTCCTGGAGTGCAAGTTGCATGCTGGAGCCCCACGTTTCCAGGAAGGGCAAACAGGAAGAAGACAAGAACGCCGTTGCAGGACAAAGCCATCAAGCGACGCATGCCATACCTTGCACACACTGGCCATAAGTCCACATAACTTCACTCACAGGACCTTAGGACTCACTTTCTCCCTTAGGCCAAAACTTCCACCCCATGAACCCAAGGCTTCCCATTTCTCAGCCCATAAACCCTTCAGAAAATCCAAAAGCGGAAATGAAAGCCTCATCTCTGCTTCTGTGGATCATCACCACCTCCACCTCCAGCCACCAGGAACCAAACACCCCACCTCATGCTGCATTCATAAACATGGCAACACCGTCATATGGAGAGAGATCATCAGTGGTGGAATTGGGTGCAGCAGATTCCAAGTTCAGTCCTCCTAAGTAGGGCTGGGAAATACTCCTGTCTAAAATTGCAAAGAGCTGCTGCCAGTCAGTGTAGACCAGTTTTCCCTAAACTTGGGTATCCAGTCCAGCTGGTTTTTGGACTACAATGCCCACCATCCCTGACCACAGATCCTGCTAGCTAGGGATGATGGGAGTTGTAGTCCAAAAAAACCACCTGGAGACCCAAGTTTGGGAAACACTGGTGTAGACAAAACTGAGCTATATGGACCAATGGTCTGGCATGGAATACAGCAACTTCCACAGGGTGGCTTTGACAGTGACACCCGCTGCTCTGTGAACCACTGCGTGCACATCCCATTTTATTTCCTGCTGCATTTTGGGCTTAGCGCTTTACTGATACTGCTGGTGCTCCCCTGTCAACCCCAATGAAGAACTGGGCCCCTTTCCCAGGATTCTTCCCCACCCCAACTCCACACACTCCCATGTGAAAGTGTGGCAAAGGAACGAGACAGGAACTCTGACTCACCTGTGCACGTAGTTGTTGCGGTGAAGATGCAGCAGGCCGCAGGACACCTCGCAGGCCATACGTTGCAAGGTGAGAGGGTCCAGTGCCAGTGCCTCGGCCGCATGGCAGCTCCGCAGGTAGCCCTTCAGGTCACCCTGTCAGGGTGGCAGCAGCAGCAACAACGTTACCCATGGGCACCACTGCCTACAGACCTTTCTTGTGCGGTCTCAATGGGTGGGTTGGAGGAGAACAAGAGAGAGAAAGCATCTCTGCAATGCAGCCAAGGGGGTGGGAGCCAAGCCCCAAAGAAGGCCCGAGGTGAGGGAGAGTCATGTGCACCAAACCCAGGGATAGGGAAGTCTGTGGCCCTCCAGATGCTGGTGGACTCCAATTCCCATCAGCTCAAGCCAGCATGACCAATGGACCAGGGGTGGATGGGAGTGAGTCCAGCAACATCTGGGTGGCAGGAGCAGGGAAGAGGTTTCCCCAGCCCTACACTAAACTGCCAGTATCCCACAGAGGGAAAAATACATCACAGAATTCAAAGATGCAATGGTCTCTCAGTCAAGCCCTGTATCTAAAGTAGGAGCATCCACCCACCATCAAACTAGGTAAAGGTAAAGGGACCCCCTGACCATTAGGTCCAGTTGTGGCCAACTCTGGGGTTGCGGCGCTCATCTCGCTTTATTGGCCGAGGGTGCCGGCGTACAGCTTCCGGGTCATGTGGCCAGCATGACTAAGATGCTTCTGGCGAACCAGAGCAGCACACAGAACCAGAGCAGTGCACGGAAACGCCATTTACCTTCCCACCGGAGCGGTACCTATTTATCTACTTGCACTTTGACGTGCTTTCAAACTGCTAGGTTGGCAGGACTTCCGGTTAGCGCCATCGTCTAATGGCGGATTTCCCTCAGTGTTCCTGAGGGAGATCTGCTTCGCGGGTTCGGGTCCCGCAGCTACGGCACAGCGGGGACCCCTAAAAATCACAGGCACGAAGCCTGTGAACCGGAGACTCGGTGGGCACCTTTGCGCCCCCCCGAAGCTGCGAAAGAGCCTTTTTAAAGGCTCCGGAACGGCAGCGGGTGTGTGGCGCGGTGCTGAGAGTCGCTCGTACCCAGCCTGCGAAGTGAAGCCGCGTCGCCATGGACGGAGAGCGCTGACTTCTTCCTTTAATTGGGAGCTAAAAGAAACTACTACCCGTGAGTAGGAGAAGAGCAATATAATTGGAACTTTTAATTAACTTTTAATTAAATAATTGAATTCGGACACTGAGACGGGAAAGTATCAAAAGGAAGTCTGCCTTCCCGCTCTGCAGTAAGATCAAAGCAGAGGACTGGTAAGCTTTAACTTTGAAGTTCTTTTTTGGGAATAAGAGATCCACCGTGTAAGAGACTGAGACCTTCCCCCCGCGGGCAGGAGTGGGGGGAAAGAAAGATATTGACTTTGAATCCTGCCTGTCTTTTAAAGCTATTGACAATATAACGCTGTATCTTGACTCTGGAACGGACTGCCGGAGAAAGGAAGCCGGCTGTGAACTGTTGCAACAAAGTAATGAGGTGTTTCAAACTGAGAGTTACATTTTAAGTATGAAGATACACTTTCCCTGGATTTGAAAGGACTTACTGGATTGTGTTTTAAACCTGTGAAATTAACATTGTGGACCTTTGCAAAGACTTGGGAGCTTGTGGGACTTTTTTATTTACAAGAACATCCTCCATTTTAGAATCTTATAGACAGTAACAGATATTTTCGCCCCCTGGAGAAGAATTGGTTGGTTTCAGCAACAAGTGAAGTTTAGTCTGCTGAATTACTGGGAAAAAGAATTTGGACTGTGGGAATGACCTTGGTTGCAAGATAGTGGTATGGCAAATGACCAAAACAAAGGAGAGCCACAGGAGAAAACTTTGAGATCTGGCAGACAATATAAAATAGACACATTTATGAAAAGAAGGGCCTCTGCATCTGGTCCATCTGGAGCAAGTGCAAACCCACAGGAAAAGACAAAAGCCATGTCTGAGGAGGCACTTTCGAAAGCATTGGGTAAAATCAATGATTCTTTGGATCAGCTAAAAAAGCAAGGAGCGGAAACAAGTACACAAGTTGCTGAAACAAATAAGACTGTTGCTGAGATATCAGGGAAAATTGACTTAAATACTAAAAGTATAATTGACTTGGGAAATAAAGTTAACACTAACACAGAATCAATTGGGAAACTACTTGAGGAAGCATTCACCACCCGAAAAATTGCTGAAGAGGCGAAAGAAATTGCAACGGCTACTGACGAAAAATTTTCCCCAGTTTTTAGGAAATTGGGAGAACATGATTTGGCATTGTCCATGATTGAAATGCAAAGGAAGGAGAGGAATCTTAGGATCCGGGCAATACCTGAGAGTGAAGGAGATAACTTGGTGGACTTCTTAACAAAAGAGTTCTCCCATTTCTGGAAACAGGAACTGGAACAAGAAGAATTTAAGATAGAGAGTGCATTTAGATTGGGTGCAAGACAAAGAAAGAATAAAGTAAGAGACTGTCTGGTAACATTAAGATCTAGAGAAGAGAGAGATAAAATCTTGAACCTGCACTACCAAAGAACTCTGCGAATTGAAGATTCTTTTGTGGAAATCTTTAAAGATATCCCTAAACATATTTTGGACGCAAGAAGTCAGTACAAAGATTTAGTGATATTATTGAAGAAGAACAGCGTGCCCTTCAGGTGGGAATACCCTCAAGGCCTTTCCTTCAAGTACAAAGGGAAGAAAAGGAAAATAAAAACTGTGGAAGAGAAAGATAAGTTTCTAGAGCAACACGAAGAGGATCTCTACAAAGGGGCGGAATCAGGACAAGACTATCCAGGAGGAGGAACCTTGGATAAAGACAAGCTACCGTTGAGAGGGACACCACCGACAGAAGAAGAAGAGCAACTCGGAGCAGTAGGAGGAAAAGATAAATAACCCCATCATGGCTTTGCGATTGTTAAGTTGGAATTGTAACGGTCTAAACATCCCCCGAAAAAGAAAAAGTGTATTTCATATTTTGAAAAAAGAACAATTGGACTTGATATGCTTACAGGAGACGCATGTGACGAGGTCACATAGAAAATTACTCACAAATAAAAGATTGGGCCAAGAATTTATTTCTTCAGACAAGGTAAAGAAAAGAGGAGTGGTGATCTATGTAAAGGAAAAATGGCAACCAAAATTAATTTTTAAAGATGACCACGGAAGATATTTAGCAGTTGAAATTCAAGTTCAAGGAGAAAAATTTCTGATTGTGGGAATCTATGCACCAAATGAGGGGAAAGTGGAATTCTACAAGAAACTTCATGAAGCTTTGATGGACTTTATGGATATAAATTTAATTTTGATGGGAGACATGAATGGAGTTGTATCTACCAATATGGACAAATCCCAAAGACAGACAATTACCAAAGAGGGAAGACTACCAAAAATCTTTTTTGAAATGACTGACAATATGGATTTAGTGGATATTTGGAGGATAAAGCACCCACTTGAAAGAGAGGGAACCTTCTTTTCTGAAGCTAAAATGACATGGACTCGAATTGACCAAATTTGGATAACTAGAGGAATGGCGCCAAAGATAAAAAAAGTGGAAATCTGCCCAAAAACCTGCTCCGACCATAATGCGATAAGGATGGAAATGAACTTAACAACAACTGGTATCTTCAGATGGAGGATGAATGACACCTTGTTTAGGGATGAAGACTTCTGCAAGAAGGCTATGAAAACCTTGAAAGACTATTTTGAAATAAACATGAGGACCAATGTAGAGAAAAGAATAATCTGGGACGCAAGCAAGGCAGTTATGAGAGGATTTTTGATACAACAGAATGTAATCAAAAAGAAAAGCCAGAATGAGAAGAAAGAAAGAATTTTGGAAAAAATAAGAGAAGGAGAGAAGAAATTAAGATCAAAACCAAAATCACAGGATATACTGAAAGAAATCAAATTATATCAGACACAATATATGGAGCTGACAAATCAAGAAATAGAATGGAAAATTAAGCAAATGAGACAAAAGACTTTTGAATCAGCTGATAAATGTGGGAAATTGCTGGCTTGGCAAATAAAGAAGAGACAAAAATTAAATACGGTTACACATTTAGAGGTGGAAGGAAGGAATATTTATAAACCAACAGAAATAAGAGATTGTTTCCAGAGATACTTCAGTCAATTGTATAAACAAGGTCCTCAGAGTGATGCAGAAATAGAATCGTTTTTGGAAAAAAATGGACTGAGAAAGATTTCAAAGGAAAGTAAAGAAATTTTGAATCAGAGAATAACAGAACAAGAAATAGAAGGTGCCATTCAAAATATGACATTGGGTAAATCTCCAGGACCGGACGGACTTACTTCCAGATATTATAAGACTTTGAAGGAGGGGTTATTACAGCCTTTGCTGGAAGTATGCAATGAGATTTTGGAGGGAAAAAAGGCACCCGACACGTGGAAAGAGGCATATATCACGCTTATACCGAAGACAGAGACGGAAAAGACTCAACTTAAAAACTACCGACCTATTTCCCTACTAAATGTGGATTACAAAATTTTTGCTGACATTTTAGCAAAAAGGTTGAAAACGATTTTGATGGAGGAGATTCATAGAGATCAGGCAGGCTTTCTACCGAAAAGACACCTATCAGACAATGTAAGGAACATTGTAGATATCTTGGAAATGCTAGAAGTGAACATTAACACTAAAGCAGTCCTGATATTTGTGGATGCCGAGAAAGCCTTCGACAATATATCTTGGGATTTTATGATGAAGAACCTTCGGGGGATGGGGGTAGGCCAAGGGTTTGAAAATGGTATAGGTGCGATATACTCTGAACAAAAAGCAAAACTTATTGTAAATAATGTGGTTACAGAGGAACTAAAGATAGAAAAAGGGACACGTCAGGGGTGCCCAATCTCTCCATTGCTCTTTATATCGGTCCTGGAGGTGCTGTTGAACATGATTAGGAAGGACCAGTTGGTTAAAGGTGTACAGGTCGGAGCGAAACATTATAAACTGAAAGCATTTGCAGATGACCTGGTACTTACTTTGCAAGAGCCTGAATCTAGTACAAAAAGAGTTTTAGAGTTAATTCAAGATTTTGGTCAGGTTGCAGGATTTAAGCTGAATAAATTAAAAACGA